TATGGTACCATCTCCAGCTCCTCCCTCAGGGCGCTGATGGTACCAGATGTATTTAAACATGACATTTAAAGTAAGTATATAAAGGTGGTACCATCTCCAGCTCCTCCCTCAGGGCGCAGATGGTACCAGATGTATTTAAACATGAATTGAAAGTATATCAAGTATATCAAGGTGGTACCATCTCCAGCTCCTCCCTCAGGGCGCTGATGGTACCAGATGTATTTAAACATGAATTAAAGTATATCAAGTATATCAAGTATATCAAGGTGGTACCATCTCCAGCTCCTCCCTCAGGGCGCTGATGGTACCAGATGTATTTAAACATGAATTTAAAGTATATCAAGTATATCAAGTATATAAAGGTGGTACCATCTCCAGCTCCTCCCTCAGGGCGCAGATGGCCCTCTCCTTGCTGGACACCAGCTCCTCCAGGTATTGGTACCGGAGCTTCTTCCTGGCGCGGCACTCTCTGGCGCTCTGACGGCTTCGCTCCAGCTTCGCCTTCAGGTCGATCTTCGCCGGTTTACGGCCCGCGTTTCCCCGGTTTCTTCACCTTACCGGTCACCATCTGAGAAACCCCAGCATCACACGGAGGTTATACACTTTGATATCAGATTAACGCACTAAATAAAGTTGAATACACATATAAAACATGTTGAAGTTATATTTATCATATCAATCCTCCATAATGTGTTCATTAATCAGGGTTTAAGATCACAATTCAAGATATTTTCAAGCACTTTCAAGGTCTCTAAATATGAGTCTCTTTGCATTCAAACGGGTTTAAAAAGGAGCAAATAAGTGGGGAAAATCCGGTAAATGTCAGTTTAATTAAAATGTATATTTTAAACCAAAAATACTCATAAAACCCTTTATTTATAAAAACAACAAAGTATTAATCCTCACAGAAATCAATATATGTTATTATAATATTCTATGATACCTTAGTTAGATTACAGATTATCGATACAGAATATAAAAAGCTTGTAAAGATGAACTTTCCCATCCTGCAAAGAATCACCTGTAAAACATTCAAATATAAAAAGCTTGTAAAGATGAACCTTCCCATCCTGTAAAGAATCACCTGTAAAACATTCAAATATAAAAAGCTTGTAAAGATGAACTTTCCCATCCTGTAAAGAATCACATGTAAAACATTCAAATATAAAAAGCTTGTAAAGATGAACCTTCCCATCCTGCAAAGAATCACCTGTAAAACATTAAAATATAAAAGCTTGTATAGATGAACTTTCCCATCCTGTTAAAGAATCACCTGTAAAACATTTAAAATATAAAAAGCTTGTAAAGATGAACTTTCCCATCCTGTAAAGAATCACCTGTAAAAACATTAAATATTAAAAGCTTGTAAAGATGAACTTTCCCATCCTGTAAAGAATCACCTGTAAAACATTAAAATATAAAAAGCTTGTATAGATGAACTTTCCCATCCTGTAAAGAATCACCTGTAAAACATTAAAATATAAAAAGCTTGTAAAGATGAACTTTCCCATCCTGTAAAGAATCACCTGTAAAACATTAAAATATAAAAAGCTTGTATAGATGAACTTTCCATCCGTTAAGAATCACCTGTAAAACATTAAAATATAAAGCTGTATAGATGAACTTTCCCATCCTGTAAAGAATCACCCTGTAAAACATTCAAACTAGTCATTTAACATGAAATAAAGGTAAATATCTGAAGCTAACGTTATCTCATATTCTCTACAAGCTAACATTAGCTTCGTTAAAGTCACAGTTATCAGCCTTTAACGAACAGTTGGCTCCACACACTACAGGGTTACAGTTATAAAGCAGTTATTCACTTTTAGAGACTGCTTATAAAAGCCTGTAAAAGTGAATTAAATGTTAATAATCTTCGTGTTTCTCAGCTAGCCGTTAGCTTCTCACCTTGTTTTCATCCATCTCCGCTCCGCTAGCTTCAGTTAGCTCACAGGTTAGCCGCGGGATGCTAAGCTCCGGTTGAAGAGAGTCAGATTGAGATATACAATAAAGTAAAGAGTTTTAAATTGATCGGGAAATAGAGGAACAGATGTTTAATAGTTGGCGATGTTTAGCTTTGTTTACATCGTGGTTCCGCCTCTTCTTCTCTGGTGTTCATGTCAGGTTGCTCTGCGCCCCCTGCTGGTCGGAGGATGCAGCGGCGATACCCGGAGTTACACCAATGACGTTCTTTATTTAATAATACAATGTTATAAACAATAATTAATATATCTATAGTAGCGAGAAGGGGTGGGATTAAATAAGTGTGCTATTCTTCCCTCCCCTTTACCGTTAATAACTGCGCAATATATACCTGGCTCTGGCTGCTACATCTTCTTCTTGTTACTGGAAATTCCACATACATATATTTATTTTATATTTTATTCTTTTACTTAATTTTATTGTAATGCTATGCTTATTATTATTTCACAATTAGCATGCATTTTTATATAAGTAAAGTAGAAGTACTCAGATCTTGTACTTGAGTAAAAGTAGAAGTACTCAGGTCTTGTACTTGAGTCAAATTAAAAGTACTCAGGTCTTGTAGTAAAAGTAGAAGTACTCAGATCTTGTACTTGAGTAAAAGTAGAAGTACTCAGATCTTGTACTTGAGTAAAAGTAGAAGTACTCAGGTCTTGTTCTTGAGTAAAAGTAGAAGTACTCCGATCTTGTACTTGAGTAAAAGGAGAAGTACTCAGATCTTGTACTCGAGTAAAAGTAGAAGTACTCAGGTCTTGTTCTTGAGTCAAAGTAGAAGTACCAGAGTGTAGGAATACTCTGTTACAGTAAAAGTCCTGCATTCAAAATGTTCCTCAAGTGAAAGTATAAAGTATTCTCATCAAAATATAGTGAAAGTAGCGACAGTAAAAGTATTCGTTGTGCAGATTGGTCCATTTCAGAATAATATATATGATATGTTTTATAATGATTGATCATGAAAGTGTTCTCAAAGCTGGTGAAGGTGCAGCTAGTTTGAAAGTACTCTTGTATACTGCAGGGTAGCTGGTGGATTTACTCCAGGTGGAACTAAAGGTCTGATTCAACACTTGATTAGATTTCACATCATTCATCCACATCTGTGAAGTAACTAAAGGGATTTAAATACATGGAGTGGAGTAAAAGTACATAATTTACCTCTGAACTGTAGTAGAACACCATGTACCTCTGAACTGCAGTGGAGTAGAAGTACACCATGTACCTCTGAACTGTAATGGAGTAGAAGTACACCATGTACCTCTGAACTGTAGTGGAGTAGAAGCACACCATGTACTTCTGAACTGTAGTGGAGTAGAAGTACACCATGTACCTCTGAACTGTAGAGGAGGAGAAGTACACCATGTACCTCTGAACTGTAGGAGAAGTACACCATGTACTTCTGAACTGTAGTGGAGTAGAAGTACACCATGTACCTCTGAACTGTAGTCGAGTAGAAGTACACCATGTACCTCTGAACTGCAGTGGAGTAGAAGTACACCATTTACCTCTGAACTGTAGTGGAGTAGAAGTACACCATGTACCTCTGAACTGCAGTGGAGTAGAAGTACACCATGTACCTCTGAACTGTAGTGGAGTAGAAGTACATCATGTACCTCTGAACTGTAGTGGAGTAGAAGTACACCATGTACCTCTGAACTGCAGTGGAGTAGAAGTACACCATGTACCTCTGAACTGTAGTGGAGTAGAAGTACACCATGTACCTCTGAACTGCAGTGGAGTAGAAGTACACCATGTACCTCTGAACTGTAGTGGAGTAGAAGTACACCATGTACCTCTGAACTGTAGTGGAGTAGAAGTACACCATGTACCTCTGAACTGTAGTGGAGTGGAAGTACACCATGTACCTCTGAACTGTAGTGGAGTAGAAGTACACCATGTACCTCTGAACTGCAGTGGAGTAGAAGTACACCATGTACCTCTGAACTGCAGTTCAGAGTAGAAGTACACCATGTACCCTCGAACTGCAGTGGAGTAGAAGTACACCATGTACCTCTGAACTGTAGTGGAGTAGAAGTACACCATGTACCTCTGAACTGTAGTGGAGTAGAAGTACACCATGTACCTCTGAACTGTAGAGGAGTAGAAGTGCACCATGTACCTCTGAACTGCAGTGGAGTAGAAGTACACCATGTACCTCTGAACTGTAGTGCAGTAGAAGTGCACCATGTACCTCTGAACTGCAGTGGAGTAGAAGTACACCATGTACCTCTGAACTGTAGTGCAGTAGAAGTGCACCATGTACCTCTGAACTGTAGTGCAGTACACCATGTACCTCCGAAATGTAGTGGAGTGGAAGTACACCATGTACCTCTGAACTGTAGAGGAGTAGAAGTACACCATGTACCTCTGAACTGTAGTGCAGTAGAAGTGCACCATGTACCTCTGAACTGTAGTGCAGTACACCATGTACCTCCGAAATGTAGTGCAGTAGAAGTACACCATGTACCTCTGAACTGCAGTGGAGTATGTATTTCACAACCCAGTCTCACGGCATTTCGTGTTCACCAACACGATTTGCCCCTTTTTTTCGTGTTGCACAGCACGATTTTAAAAGCAATGTATTTCTACTGCCTGCAGTAGAAATACCAAAGATTGGTTTAATTCCATAATCTCGGGCTTTTTTGGCGTCCGTCAGGAACTGAATTTAAAAATAAAAATAACCGGAAACAGACGTAGGCATTTTGAGCGATTACCCAAGATCCTCAGCTATGGTTTTAAGCTCGTTTATTGGATGTTTTAGCCGCAATGCATGCTGGGATTTGGTGTTTATATTATATGAAATCCGGAAAACATTTTAAAAGAATAAAATAATACTTAATTCCGAGTGCTCTTGCTTTTCTCTTTGAAAGTCATCACATAACGGCATTGTAATACACGGTTCGGCTGCATTGTATATTACAGATCTGCCGTAGTTCTTTATTTATAGAGCCCTGATGAGAAGACCTTTGGAAAAACTGAAGAAATGCCGCCGAAACTGAATACTTGACGTGGATCATAAATATATTCAACAATTAAACAACATCTTCAATTTCTCTTCACACAATACGTCTCCTTGCAGTATCAACACTAATTCGGCTAAATTTTACATTTGATCTAATTCACAGATAGGTTATATTTACACCATAACGGTGCACAGCTGATATAAAAGGACTGTAGTTTTTAAAGATATTACTGATTTTCTTTGAATGTAAGAATGTAAATACTGAGTCTGAAATAGTATAGCAATATGTTGTACAATTATGTGAAAGCATGCATAAAACTACACATCTTCAGATGTTATACGAAAACATAAGTGTCCTACACTAATAATACAACGTTATTATGGCTGTGTACCTTGTGTGCACCTCCTAGTGGTTAAAGCACGTTATTGAATTATTGTGTTTTATTTGATTAAAAAAATATTAAGAGTACATACTTTCATAGGGGGAAAAGTATAAATATAGAATATAAAAAAATCAAGAAGATACTCTAAGTGATCTCTACAATAAAACAGTTTAGTGCAGAATGTACAAAGATATTAATATGAGGTGGTGCAAAACAGAAAAACGAATTAACCTTTATTTAAACATTAAATAACAGATTAAGGTCTTCTTTTAAATAAGAAAACAACTTTGGGGGTATCTATCTACAGATAAATATTAAGCCTGACAAAGTACTTAACGTCTAATATATTGCTTTCCTGCAATGTTAACTATGTTGAAGCACTTATTTTAACTGATATTATACATATGGATTATACTCTTATGTAGATAGAATAAGAAATGTGCAGAATATGACAGTTTAATGGTGGAGGTTCACACATATTGATAGATGTCTTGTAATGCACTGTTGAGGAACCTGTGACCCAAGTGTTTCATTCATTGCATAACTACACCGTAGTTGTGTATATGATATGTCAATACATCTTTGAAAATCTTGAAAGGGATGTGCAAAATAGCCATAATATACAGTCTTTAATTAACTATTAGTAGAGAATAACGAGTAATGAATATACTTTATTACTCGTTTCCATTCATGTCAATTGCAGATACATGTTTAGTCTTCTCGAGCACCAACTATCAAATATCTCTCCTGATTGTTGGCACTTGACAATCACCTTACCTGCATTTTACTCAGGTGTAACTAAAGTCTGATTTAAGGGTTGTTTATATTTCACATCATTAATCAGAATCTGCAAAGTAACTCAAATAAATATAGTGGAGTAAAAATACCAGGTTAACCTCTGAATTGTAGTGGAGTAGAATTACAAAGTAACAATGAGCCAGGGGCGGGGCTTCAGGGGGGGGCTGTAGGGGCAGGGCTCCCCGGGCCCTGGACGGTCGGGACCCAATGGGGGCCCGTCGCCGAGGCAGCAGGCTCCGCCCCCGAGATATTCGGGCGGGCCCTGCTGCCTCGCGCCACTGAGTGCACTGACGTTCGTGGTCATATTAGGTATAAAGCAATGTAGCCTATAATATGAGTTGAACTTGTGCTGCTATTTTCACACTCACATTTAACATTAAAACATGAAAAATTGCAAGTGAATCCCTTCTATTGTCTCCAAATGTATTTTGGGTAAAATCGTCATCATCAGCCGTCCATCAACACCATACGTAAATGAACGTCAACGTCATCATCAATCACTTGTCATTCAACAGAGCACTGCCTAAGCATGAGCAGTTATAAACACAAAAGTGGAGCTACAAAATGCAAAGAAAAATATTAAAAAAAGGAGGACCAAGGAAAAGCCAAATTGTCCAAGCTCGATGGATATTTTTTTCGCCAGCCGTGTTTCATCCCCGAGCCCCAGCCCGCCAACAACGTTAGTGGGGGTTAGCCAGATTTACAGGTAGGCTACAATCACGGCCACACACTGTCAACAAGAAAATGTGAGTTTGTGGTAAATGTTGATATCATATGGTTGTTGTTACTTCGTGTAGCTCGGCCGCCTAGCGTATTTCCTTTTCTGTCTCTCGGCTGTAGTGATGATGATAATAGGGACAACTCAGCAGCTGCTAGCTGCTAGCTGCTCGTCTAGAGGAGAGCCAGGCCTGACGCTTGACCAGCCGCAACCCTCCCCCTCCGGCTCCTTACTGGCTGCGCCGCAAGGTGAAGAAGTACCGGACACTCTTGCCCTGGCTACTAAATGGGGAAGTCAAACACAGTTTGA